CCTTTTTTCAACTCTTTCATCTTAAAGGGTGAAAAATAGTTGAATGTTGAATATTTTTAGGGAATTTTGTTCTCCATGCCATTTTTGAAACTCAAAAAATTTAAAATGCCATTTTCTCCAAAATATTTTCTGCAATGCCATATTAGGTAGATAAAATGACATAAATACCCTCTCTCAGATGTTAGCGCATAAATGAAAAAAAATTGTCAGATGAAATATTCTCTGCATCATTTAATACAAAGGATGAAGGCTATTATCCAACAGATATTAACTTAATGGGTAATTAAAAAGTAAAACAACATATGAAATCCTGATGGATTTATGGAGGACAAATAACAGAGAAAATTTGAATAATGGGAGAAGGGTCGAAGAAGGACAACAATTAGATTTTCGGTTACGAGATAAACAAGATTCCGATCTCCTCATACGATTGTCCATCACAAGTGTCATCTGCTATGTTGTCTACAGAGATCCTAAATAACAAATTTTGTCCATCAATAAATAGAAAATGGAAAGGACGAATGGTAGAGCATTCAACAAAAATATAAATGGTCCATCTCATAGTTTATCTGGGCTGAGGAGGGTTGTCTACTGGACTAACTGATTGACAGACTTGTTTTGTATATCTGATAGACAATTTGTAAAACATGTTAGAGGACGACTTACGATAGACAAAATGACAAAGATAATTTGAGGAAGGGAAGGAGGTTGAAAAAGGAGAACATCCAGATTTTTGGTTAGACCCACGGGATAAACAAGATTTTTAATATCCTCATACGGTTGTCCATAAATGGTGTCATATGCTATGTTGTCTACAGAGATCCTAAAGAACAAAATTTGTCCATCAATAAATAAAAATGGAAAGGACGAATGGTATCCCACAAAAATATAAACAGTCTATCTCATAGTTTACATGGGCTGAGGAGGATTGTCTATTGGATTAACTGATGAATAGTTTTGTTCTGTAGATCCGATGGACAATCTGTAAAATGAATGTTAGAGGAAGACTTACGATGGACAAAAAAAACTCATGGATAAAATTTGGTATAGATATGGTCTATAAAAACTTACATTGACAGAGATTTCCTTTGGCCGGAATCAATGGTTCCAACGGCTTTGCGGGTTCATTACTGTGTTGCAAGTGGTTGTTCCGCTGTCGGGAACGGTGTCTTCAACGGTGGTGACGGTGGAAAAATTCTGGTCAGCCATTAGGTTAGGAAATAATATTGCACCAGTGATAGAAAGGGGTTGGAGAACTTATTTAACAAAAAAAAATAGAAAGCGTGAGTTGTTTATCCATTTGATAATGCTTCGTTGTTGTTGCTGAAAATCTGATGGGTAAGGGAGAAAATGTTGAAAGTTACGTTTTTGAGAAATAATGACTTGATGTCTGATTTTGCTAGATTAATTAAAGAGAAGGACAAACATGTCTTTCTACCTATGAACTGTGGCAGACGAGAGAAACCAATAAAAAAATTATCCATACAAAAATTATTACTTACATGGCATAATATATAATATTCTCATATTTTTATTCAACATTTTGCAGCCAAATTATAATGAAATTAATTTACATGCTTATAAATGGTCCCTCTCTCTCTCTCTCGGTTAGAGACTCTCCGAGAAAAGACATTAAAAAAGTTGCCAGCTTCTCCCATTCCACTTTCTCGCCACCACTTTCACCTGAATCCCCACGTCACTCTCTCTTAAACTCCATAAAGCTCAAACCTTTTCTCATTCTCTCTCTCTCAAACTTCATAAAGCTCAAACCTTTTTCTCATTCTCTCTCTAAAGCTCAAACCTTTTCTCCTTCTCTCTCTAAAACTCCATAAAGCTCGAACCTTTTTAGTTTTCACACTCTTCTTCTTGATGTTCAAACAATGGGAAACCTCTGTTCTTTGTTTGCTCCGCCTAAACCCGTGAAAAGGAAACGACCCATCACCACAAAACGACAATCTTCCGTTGGAGCCTCTTCCGGGTCCGGGTCGGGTCTTTATAGCAACCGTTGGAACCACCGGGTCAAGTCATCTTCTTCTTGTAAGAGAGACAACAAGTTCGAAGATGCTGTGATTCAAGAACACGCTCTAGCTGCTGCTGCTATTTTGTTCAGACAACAGAACGGTGGAGTAGGATCGTTGCCTTTTGATCGGTCGGTGTCTCAACGGTATCCTGTTTCTGGTTCTAAGAAGAATCAGTTGCCTCGTAGCTCAAGTTCGAGGTCAAGGTCTTCTACAGATCCTCTGTTACCGCCTCATCAGTTTCTTAATCAGGTTCTTTACTTAATCAAGTCAAATCTTTTATGCTGTTAATAGAAAGTTCTCTAATTTGTGTCTTCAGCATTGATTAGTTTCTTTTTCTTGGCATTTAATGATGAGTCTTGGATTCTTATATTATATAGTTTTTATAATTCTTGTTGGCTCAACTGATTTAGTGGTTACAGAGCAATGTAAGTCTTTTGAGTATTGTAGTAGATGTTTGTGTTGAGTCTTGAAACCTGGTGACTCTAGTTTTGGTTCATTTTGGTGTGATTGTGGTGACAATGAGTTTATATGATCTTATAGTTTACTTAGCCAAACATCATTGTTGAGCTTTAATCATATCTTCATGTGTGTGTTTCTATCTCTCATGTATAAGTGTCCAAAGATAATGTTTTGAGAATTTGCTTACCTTAATCTTATAAATGATCCAAATTGTGTTATCTCGAAGTTTTTAATTTTTCTCATGGTTTGTGAATAGGGTATAAAGCTAGATGACTTGGAAACAAACCATTTTGTTCTCATCCATGGAGGAGGATTTGGTGCTTGGTGTTGGTACAAAACAATTGCACTTCTTGAGGAAGATGGTTTCAAAGTTACCGCTATAGACTTAGCTGGTTGCGGTATTAACTCGTTCAATATAAATGGCATTGCCAGTTTGTCTCAGTATGTGAAGCCACTTACCGATGTTCTCGAAGAGCTTTCCATAGGAGAGAAGGTTCTGTTTCTGATTGCATACATTTCCACACCTTCCCTCCAATTTTATTTTCGAAAACTGGAACATGTTGTGTGTAAAATTGCAGGTGATCTTGGTCGGACACGATTTTGGTGGAGCATGTATGTCTTATGCTATGGAACTGTTTCCTTCAAAGATTTCGAAAGCGGTTTTTCTCGCTGCAGCAATGTTAACTAATGGTCAAAGTACACTCGATATGTTCTCCTTGAAGGTTTGCTCTCTCACTTATCACTTCTCCTGTTTTAAGCTTTGTGCCGCGCCATAGATTAACTAACTGTGCTTATGACACACATTACAGGCAGGTCAGAACGATTTAATGAGGAAAGCTCAGATTTTTATCTACACAAATGGTAATGAAAACCCTCCAACAGCCATTGACTTAGACAAATCTCTTCTCAAAGACCTTTTGTTTAATCAAAGCCCTTCAAAGGACATTGCATTGGCTTCTGTATCAATGAGGTCAATCCCATTTGCGCCGGTTCTTGAGAAACTCTCTCTCTCAGATGCTAACTACGGTTCAGTTAGACGGTACTACATAGAGACTCTAGAAGACAATGCCATACCAGTGACTCTCCAAGAAAACATGATTAATACTAGTCCGCCTGAAAAAGTGTACCGGTTAAAAGGTGCTGACCATGCTCCTTTCTTCTCTAAGCCACAAGCTTTGCATAAACTTCTGCTTGAGATCGCCAGAATAAAGCCTACTTAACACAATTCTCACAAGTATCTTCATTACCATATTCACTAACTAGTGTTCTAAAGTGGCTCATGAGGTCTGTCTTCCTTTGTATTTTTTTTTTGTGATTTTGTTTTTGTTTCCTTTGGTGTCTTTTTAATGTTATGTCTTTACTTCGTTCTTATCGTTGCACTGTTTTTACCATAAATGAATTCAATGTTTATAGACTCATGGTACATGTATAGTGAGACATAGGCTACAAATTTGATCAAGATCTTAAACATTGGACCTTCCAGCTCATCTAGAGGGTTTAATTGTTTTGCTCTCAATAAATATGTGTGTGTGTGTGTGTGTGTGTGTGTGTGTGTGTGTGTGTGTGTGTGTGTGTGTGTTGTAAGGTAATTTATAATTTTTGGTAAGATCATAGAAGCTGTGAATTAATTAGCAACAAACTTAACTTTCAATTCTGAAAGTCAATGCTTAAAATTCCAATCCAAAGTGAAGTAGTGGTCCAAAATATATATCACAATCAACCCTTATAATAATGTTACATGCAACTATAAATGTTAGCATCTTTATTCATGGAAATCAATTCATACTTGTCCAACTTGATTTACAATAAATAATGTTACATTTGTGACTATTTTGAGATCTTCATGGATTTTTGACTACATTTTGCTGCTAATTTGTAACTATTTTGAGACCTTCCTGAATTAGCAGCAAAATTAGTGACTATTTTGAAACCTTCATGAATTTATGATCATTTTATTGTGACATGGAGGAAATCGTATCATTTTTGTCACAATAAAAATTTTGTGACAAAATATGTATATATTATGACCGTTAGTAGGGTAACAATATTCACTTTTTATTGAGGTTGTCATTAGGGGAACCGAAGCCCCTCATGTCGAATTGAATCTATGAAAGGTTATGTTTATGTAGAAGTGGCATGGTTTGCTAGCCCTCTAGTCTCTATTGTTTGCATATCCATGTTAGTGTTGCTTTTCTTTTCTTGTCGGTTTGATCTCTCTCTGGTTCGATTGTATCATTGTGTGATGTCGTTCTTTTGAGTTTGGTGTCGTCTGATTTGAGGTTTCTTTCGTTCTTTGACTCTGTATATTCAAGATATGATCGAGATCTTGTCAGTTCACACATCTTACAACGAGTGCAATTGGTCTCGTGTGATTCGATGATTTCATTGCTTTTGGATGATTGTGAATTTGTGAGATTTAGTCTCTATAGGTGTCTACTTCTTTTTGTCTGAATAGGTCTATATTCAAATTATGTGAGAGGTCTCCTTTGTATTTTTTCATGAGTTGCTTCATTGACTCCTTTGTGCTTGGTTTAGATTACGGTGGTTAAAGGAGTGTGCTTAACAAATTTTGTATATCTTCAAAAATTTATAATTAATTCTGTTTTGGTGTATTCTTTTGTCTTAGAGCTTATTCTCCAAATACTTTTAGTTGTCTATCAGCTTTGTTTCTATGGCTCCGAATGACAATCCGATTTGGGTGCGACTACCATTTGAGTGTGGGAACATTGTAATTAAGAAGCGATGTGATTAGTTAGAATTATGAATGGAGATATGATTCGGGTGCGAAGTGATTATGAATGACAAAGAAATTTAGATGGAGTTAGAAACCATAATTACCAAATTAACATTTTATTATATATTTTTTTTAAATTTAATTTGTGTACATTAAATTAAGAAAAATACCCTTGGATACCACATTTTAAGTTTTTCTTCCAAAAATACCACAATTTTTTTTATTCCAAAAATACCACAAATATTTTATTTGTACAAAAATACCACAAACATAAAAAATTGAATTTTGATGATGTAGGATTTTTTTAATGTTTGGTTGACTATTTACATTTAGGATATAGTTTTTAGGGGTAGGGTTTAATGTTTAAGATATTAGAAATTAGTTTTGAATGTTAAAAATTTAAGTTTTAATTAGTTTTGTTGTGTTTTTGGAAAAAATTGTATTTTAGTGATATTTTAGCGGTATTAAAGAGAACCCCCTAGATCAAATTAATATTTTTTTTTAATAAATATAACGGGCTTTTTTTATTCAGTAAACCCCTTAATGGGCCGGGCTTTCGGTTACAAAGTGAAACTAGGGCAAAAAGCAAAAACGAATTCTGCCGTCACCGGAAAATTGACTCGCGACGTATTGACACCGCGGCGCAGCTAATCAGATCATGAAGGTAGGCGGATGCGAGATCAACAGCTTTGCGGCCGGATCGAGGTATTTAGTGAACGGGAATAAAGCAACTGACCCACATCACCGTTCCTTTCCCTCGAACCACCAACCCGCCACGAATCTCCCGAAATGATCAATCGCCGACGCACAACACGTTTTTCAAAGCTCCTAGACCAAGCAAGCCAAACTTCAGACGGAACCTCTCTTTCCCGGATATGGCGGAGAAAACGATTCACCGGATGAGATCCCTTCGAACCGGCCCAGAGGAAGCAAGACACAGCGGCGACGGGGGCCGATGGCTCAATCGGAAGCCCAGTCACCGTAGTTCCGTGACGCCATCAAGATCCGCAAGGATCCCGTGTTAACCTCTTAAGCGATTCAGCAACCCACCTCCTTTTCCAATGGCTTCCGCCGTGGATTCATTGCCGGCATGACAGATGAGCCACGAGAACCTATCGCTTCTCCTACTGGCGTCTTCAAACCGGAGGAACCAGAGCAACTATCTCCTGCCGCCACATCGGGTCTGAAACCACGCCAAAGAGAAGAGAGACTAACTCATAGCTGACGGGGAAGAGATCTCATCCACCCTTGAAATCACCTAGAACCTAAGGAAATTAAGCACAAGACCACCATAAACGACTAAGATCTGAAGAGAGAAAGTTTAGGAGAGAGAAGAGAGAGTTTGCTACCGGAACGATTGTCCACTTTAACTTTGAGTTTTAAATTAATAATATGCTGTTTTATTTTACATTAATTTAATTTATAATATACAAGTTCTTGTTCCGCGCTGCGCGGGAAAAGTTTATAATTTTTATTTTGTTTTTTTACAACGTTTGTTTTGTTGGTTTTTTGTTACTATTATATTTGAACATTAAATAAATAATGGTATTTTGGAAAAAAATACTTAAAAGATGAGTGAATTCTCACTAATATTTTTCATCACTTGTATATAATTTTAATACATAATAATTTTTGACCCTCTTAAACCGACACGTCATTCAAGCCCCAATTTTTTTTATGACCGTTACTGATATTCTTTTTCTTTATTTTGATTTCAGAACCCTAATTTAATTCTCATTATCTATTTCTCTCTCTCACGTTCGCCTCTAGTTTCCCGTTTTGTTGCTTGATTGATTTAAGTATGGAAACAACAATTGAAGAATAGTTTAGGGTTTATTGATTCTCTCTGATTTGGGAAGCAAAATGTTAGAATTAGGAAATTACATTCTCAATCATATGGGTTTTGTTCACAGATCTCCAATTTTGCATCTCGATGCTTAAAATCTCTGTTTCAAAATATTTAATCTTCAATATGTGAATTTTTATACATATTTAGGACTTTTTTTTCTTTATCGTTTATGTGAATTTAAGTTCCCTTTGATGCAGCTTCAGTGGTAGAGGAGTTTAACGTCAGATACGTATGGCACAAAAGGTTAGACTTTGCTGCAATATCTTGGTGGAGTGGTTGAAACCTTTAAAGAATGCTTAATAGGTGTGGAAACTTAATTACTGATTATTTCTCCTTTGTATTAATTGAGTTTTCAAGCCATATGATGAACCTGTGGCCTTATCAGGTGGAATGGCTGCATCGCCGTTTATGCGTATATTGGAACGGGTATGATCGGGAATCCAGCTTTAGTAGCAGCTGGGGGAGGGTACATGTATCCGATGTTAGCAGGTGTTTTGGCTCATGGCGGAATGGGTTCTGATTTTGTTACAGTCTAGTCAGATGGGTGGGATTGGTGAGTCAGGTGTTGGTGCTGCTGGTCTATCAGTTCCGGGCAACTACTTTAGAGGTCAGAGTCTACCTAATGCTTATCCTGATTCCGACACCGGGAAAAGAGGGGCGGGTAAAGATTCGGATGCTGGTGGCTCCTTTCAAGGCTACTCAAACTATTCTTTGTACGCTAACTGTTAACTTTTTGTCAATGCTCTTATTTTTGGTTTGAATATCTTTGGATAAGCAAGCATACGTTGCATGATTCATACCTTCGCTTTTTTTTGTTTAGATAGATAGGGATAAGGCTCATTGTCATTGTCAATAGTTTTTAACCGTTTATTAAAAAGCTTAAATCATGGTTTTGATTTGGGAATTTGGTTTGAATTCTGAATTTTTACTTAGTACTCTATTTCAGGCGGGTTAATTGGCTTAGAATGACTATATATGGTGGTATAACGGAAGTGAGACAGCCGCAAATTTCTGGTTACCGAGCTGAAAACATATGACGTGTCTCTATTAAGGTAATCATAATTACCTGTCTGAATGTCCCAGTCCCTGATGTTAGAATGAAATTGAAACAGTTCCCATACTGTCAAGTCTCGGGTTCCTTGTCACCGAGCTCAAAACAAATGCCTCTTCTCGGTTAAGGTATTGAAAATTACTTCTCTGAATGTCATTCCCTGATGCTAGAAGAAAAATGAGACAGTACCGGATTTTTAAATCCTTGGGTTCTTAGTCATTCCTGTTAACTAAGATTCCCATTGCTTCGGGGGTTTAGTCATCTGACCCAAAAACAAATGCCTAGACGTAATTTGTTGACGCAAATCAAGTAATTTCTTAACCCGTGGATTTCTCGAGTATTTAACACAATAAACTAATCGAAAGGCATTATATACATGATCGATCACAAAGAGCAAATATACTCTAAAGATTTCCGAGACTTGTTCTTAGCTAAAGCGGAAAGGTTGTTTGTTTGGTTTTTCAAAACTGTAAACAAAAATGCAAAAATAAACTGAGATTAAACTTATAAATTCAAGCATTGGGCAGCATGGTATTTTCAGAGAATCATTGAATAACAAATAAAAGCAATTAGGAATTCAAACATGAAGAACCGTTCTTGAACATGAACAGAAATTTACATTAATTCTCTCGCAAGAAATTAATCACTAAATTCAGCTATTCAATTACTAAACTCTCATTTGTAAATTTCTAGCCAAATTCGCATTATCAAACATGCTCATTTGGTTCACAAGGTATTCTAACATCAACTCTCGCAAGTTATAATACAATGCTCAATTTACA